CAGGACATAGATATGACATAAACGGAAGAATAAGAGTAAGAACAAAACACAACAGTCGATTAAAACATAGGAGAGAAGAAGAGAGAATGAGGCTCTCTAGTGTGATATAAGCCAGCGGTTATGTTTCCGCAATCCGAAGAAACATTCCCATTTCGTTTAATTCCATCTCGCTTTTAATAAAGGAAGGCCCAGACCTACTGACGGCTGCCAGGGGTCCTCGGTGGCTTGACTCGGTGTGGCTACAGACCCATCAGACGCTGCCAAGACTTCCTAGAGCGGATTAGCGTCACGTCACAGTGCCACAAAAAAACAGGGCGGAAGAGGCCCTGGCAGCCAATTATCCTACTGCTTTGGGTCTGGTATCGGCTAGAATCTAGAAATAGACCGGGGGAATTGAGATTCAGGGTCTTGTGCTACAGTAGTGCACTGCGCATCTGCGCATGCGTATGTCAGCTACATGTAGGTACCTGACCGACCGTGGTGCAGCTCGGCAGGTGGCGGTGCACACGTGTACACCGTTGTGCGCTTTCCAGGTATGTTTCATCATACAGCTACCTATCTAGGTAACTATTTGTACCTAATTGCCTGAACTGGTCGTCGCAAAGTGGCTTGCGTGTGGTGATCAGGGGTCAGGAAGTATCTCATTGGGAAGTCGAGTACCGGCACCGTACGCAGATCCTCCACATCTCTCCCACGACCTACCAGATTCGTCACCTTGGTGTACGTAGATAAGAGAACATCTGATATTCGCCAGGGAGGCACATGGATGCATCATCCTAAAATTAAAAATGTTTTTTTTTTCCCGTCGCGTCCACTGAGAGTGGAAATGGACGCGCTAACAACTCCCAGATCCCACCCACACACGTGTACCGCGTTTTATCCGGTGCTTCATGCAAGGACCGGAACAGGAGACCAGGGTCCCGGGAGGCTGTTGGGCAATAACTCTTATTATAGGTAGAAAACGCCCGTGATGCGTCCAATACCGTGCCTTCTAGAACGCGTGTCTACCGTCCGGCCGTCTGAGCTCTCGAGCTTTCAGAAGTGCGAAGTGGGCCAGTTTTGCATACGCATGCTACCAAGCGTCCAAATATAGGCAGATACAAGTTTGTGCGCAAATCGCCCATCTGGGCTGAGACTGAACACCATCCGAAAGAGGGGGGCGTGTGACGAATACTACTCGAGCCATCCCGGCATGTTTCTTCCCGACTGTAGCACCATCGATAGTGACAACCTGCACCAGCCAGGTTTTGAGTCCAATAGAACCCGCTTCGAGCAGCTGGCATATCACTTCAATGGTTGGTTTAGACGCCAGCGCGAGACAACCGCGGAAACTGGTTAGCTTGTGCGGCGTGTTGGGGACACGAACTGAACCCTCAGACTTTTTGAGGCCATTTCCCTCTGACAGACTAATCGAAACTCACGCATTCGTGCTACCGTGCGCAGCAGTAGTCAACACGAACTAAGTTAGGAGGGTCCTTTATGGCGGTGAGTCTCCTTGCTATTGTAACGGTTTCAACCGAATGTCTGGCTGTCTAGAACAAGGCCTATAACTCTAGGAAATCGACTGCCTGAGAAATAGGCGAAAAGCTCGAAATATCTCATATTCTGAGAATGTATAAATACGGATGACATAAATATAGATCTTGAAATTAGGACAGTACTTGAACGAGCCGGAAATGTGACGATTGCGCTGTTGAGGTTGCCAAGTGGTGAGCTCAACCCAGTCTAACATTCAAGATCAAGAGTAACATTGCAGCTATAGTGCGACGTCCTACTACTAACCAAGAGACTGCACGCCGCTAAGAAACATTAATTATCCCGTCCTTAGACAAGATGAGTTCCTGGTAAAAAATTTTCAAGCGCTGCATTCTTTCACAATCCATGATGCTGTTCCAGTAGTGGAGGCTTACCTGATCATGTTCAAGTCATAGCGCACACTATATAATGACGCCGGCATAGTCACACGGATCCCAAACGGCAACATTATGGAGCGACAGATTATCAACACGAGCAATGAACACTAGGTAGAATTTCCTACGTATGCTATATATAATAGGCCTACCTATCAACATTATTTAGCAACACGGCGAAGGACTTGGAATTCTAAACCAACACACTTGTTACCATGGTATGGAGTCAGCGCTCGCTTTCTTGCTTGAGGGAAGCCTCCTATACGTACCTAGGGAGATTCCACTCTACACTACATCCAAATATACGAAACGGCCAGCAACGAAAAACCAAGATGGTTCGAAACTAAGGAAACTAGGCAGGATTTCGTATCTACTCAATTAGAAACCACACGCACAATTCGGATACAACTACGCAGATCTCTTCATACCAGCCTATCCCACATGTATCTCATCTCAAACACTTGAAATAAACCGGGTTGAAATGTCGCCACTCCAAATCTGTCCAAACAGTTAACTATTGCCACATCGTCAAGTCGCCGAAACCCCATGATGTGCTCAGCGTAAAGCATCCCTCAGACATCCTCTACCCGTCGCGCAAGTGGAATCCCAGTCACCCAATTTGCCGCTATGACAGTCCTAAGCCAAATCATCAAATCGGACATACCATCCTCAGTCAAGACTATAATACAAAGCAAAGACACCCTAAAGACTCTGAATACCGAATTTACAGATATGTACTCTACGGGTTACTTATGTGCGACTAATTGGCCTCCCGCAAAGAAGGGCCGTCATATGTACTAGGGACTAGACATTAAAATTACCAGACCCCTAACTATACCATTTTATGTGGTATTTTACTAGCCTCCTATCAACCCTTACTCTCGCATCTAAAAGCAAAGGGGATTTTTTCCTTTCTTCCTTTTTTGGGGGGGTTAAAGAGAATCTTTGCGTCGGTACATCACTTGTTCAGAACGTCTTTCTGGCTTGGCAATGCTCGTTAAATTGCCAAACTAGGAAATGGGGCTATTGGAATACGGCGTATTGCCATACTCCTACGTAGCTCTCTGTAGTCATCGGGACTCTCACATAATAATTTGAGTAATTGTTTGGCATGAAATAAAACTATATAAAATGGTCCTAGAATTCCCATCATGCTCTTAATATCTTCTACATAACTTTCTACTGCGTCAGCTCGTTTTCTGCGCCTCGAAGTCGCGATTGTTTCCCCCTTTACGATCATGTCTGCTCGTCCCCTAGTCTCATCCGCCTCAAGAGCTGCTATAAGAGGGGTGCGACCACTCACGCGCACACAGCTCGGGTTGGGTGCAGCCTTACTGTCGATAAATCCTTTGGGAGAACCTAATGTATATATTTTAAGACAATACATTATTGGACTAGGAAGAAGTCCCACCACAGGGGCTCGTCTCCTCTCGTCTTCTGTTTCTCTATTGAACAAGAAGGATGTTACCACCAATACCGGCAAGGGTGCATCACAGCCGCATTCAAGACCCGGCAATCCCCAGACTTCAGCGCCGTCACAAGACGACTACAAGATCAGTTTTCAAGACCTAGGTATGACCCGTATCACCAAGTTCGTGGTGTATACCGTAATAGGTATACTCGGCACCATGGAGACTATCTTCTGGTGCAAGGCGCTCGTAAGTACATAAACCAGATATCAACGTGCTGCCCAGTTCTCCCTCGCTAGTATATATCATGACGGGTTCATGTTCTCGTTGTGATTCTCCTATTTGATTGAAAGAGTACTTGCTGACTCGGGATATTGTGTAGTGGCGTTGGTGGGCGGGTGGTGAAGAAGATAACGAGTGAATGAAAGAGATAGTGACTTATGGGCTCTTGGCACGAGAGAATTCGCCATTCTTGTAACATCTTTTCTCCTTATGATGGGCGTTTTGGTTAGAGAAGGTTCGCTACTCCGTATCATATCATCAGTCACTCTCCTAGTCTGTGACAAACCAAAAGACTACAACAATACCTTAGCATAAACTTCTAATGGAACCATGAGTCTATCGAAGTTATAACAATCACACAGCTTTCTACTATAGTGTTCGTTCAACCTTTCTACTAGTCTAGGACTTAAGCATTCGATGATTTCGTCGGAAAGTAGCAAAGGGAGGGCAGCATACGAATTAGCCCTAGCTCTAGCATATTCTTAGTAACCTATAAGTTTATACAGAACTAAGTTGACGGCGTAGTGGTTCAAGTAACTGTAAAAGGTGACATGTTATGTGCTGATCTCTCTTTAGGTTTGATGTACCATGCGAGACACGGTTAATCTCCGTGTATACGGACAACGCTGACAGATTATATATCCAGGCAGCACATATATCATGCTTCTTTGGCGCCTTTGACGCCCTTATTATTGTCTTCTCCTTCACCCCCTTCATATACACGATCACATATGCAATGCTCGAGCATATACTTTCACCCGAACTGCGATATCACCACCCTCAGATACATCCCAAGCATAACTTCTAGTATATCAGGCATTGGGTTCGACCTGGAGATGTTCAAGGCAAGGCCAAAGAGGGAATAGTAGATTTAGAAGAACCGCTCGATTATAAACACATCTTACAGCTGACTGAAATCACGATTAGACTGGATCAAGATCAGCCTCTTTATGATGGCTTAGCACCCCTACGTAAGTTCAACCAATCAGCAGCTACTAGAAGAAGAAAAGACTATCTATAGCTAAACAATATTTTTTGCTCCTTATGTGGAGAGGAGCCTATCGACTGGTGATGCGAATGCCAGAACTACTCGGCTTAAACATTTGCTCAATACATGGAAATAACTATATTCGACCACATGCATTAAAAAGTCAAAATCAACATCAAAAAGTGTTTCATAATCATCTATGGTACATAGGAAAATACCAGGATCGTGTATAGGACTCACCACACCTTGTAGCAATAGATAACCCGGTATAATATGTGAAGAGGGGAGCACGTTCGAAACCGAAGTCTACAAGTCCTTTTATCTTACAATAAAATAAGACTACAAAAAAAACTTAATATTAACAAGTAGTTACTCGATATTGCAAATCAAAGCAAAAGTAAAATAAGGGTTTGCATTAGCCGGGAATCGAACCCGAGGCACCGACTATTTCCTCATGGGAAGTCGGTATGTTACCATTACACCACTAATGCTACTTGTCTAGTACTAGCGTGCAATTCACCATAAGTCCCCTACACTGTAATGCACAAGTCGCTGTCCATGATCGTTATGTCCTCAATGCTCATTTGCATCCAGATGAGCTAGATACTCCTGGTGTTTTGTTGCGCAGCACAGGCAGCAGTGTACACCATGATAGGTTTAGGTTCGTGCCCCAAAAACCAAGGCGTGTTTGTAATGGCAATTCTGCGGCGTCGTCGAAAGCCAACACCTTGCTTACTTACATCCCATCTAACTCGATGTCGCGCCCAACTGTTCGTACATACTGTTATTGACCGACCAATGTGAAGACGAATTGATGGGACGGTCGGCGGATCCTGCTTTGAAATCCCTGGCTTTCAATAAACTGTTCCCATCTGACACGTAGATGCCAAAACGCCGTTCGTCGTCACCCCCTCCCAATCGAAAAAGGCGCATTCCGCCGGCCATCTGCACCACCTTAGACAGATCCGTTTCATTTACTTTGCCTGGTATCTCTTCGCAAAGAGAGAAAATATTTCCATCGACGAGCATCGCAAGCACGCTCGCAATGCTTGTTGGTGGTCTGGGTAGTATACCTCCTCTTGGTCCAAAATACCAGCTAAGAATTGTCAGAACAAGAGTTGTTGCTAGCATGGCCTCGAGAACCCTCGTAGCGATTTTGTTCTGCAGCACACGACTAGACAGGTTACCCGGGTTTCCAACAATGGAGGCTGAAAATGTGTCGTTAACTCTTCCCTGTCCTGTTCGTTCAAAGACCCCAAGATCTGTGGAATTAGGTTGTCCAGCTCCTACACGAGCAGTGCTACTCAATGTTTGAGCAATAATAATGTTATGATGAAATATGATTGCTTCAACTACTTTGTCATCTTGAGTGCGGTCTGCGAATGAAGAAATAGGGATGGCGTAGCGCGACGTGGTAAGAATGGAGAAGAAAGGGTCCAGAAGATAGCCTTTTTCCACTGGTAATGAGTAAAGTTCTTGGTACACACTGTTCCCATATTCTACAGTAGAATCGTTCGCTAGCATGATCTCTCTTGCAGTGTTTTCTATACGTCGAGGAGGTTGGTTCTCGCTTATTATTAGCTCAGGTCCAGAGAACACAACCTCTACATCAACGGCAGATACTGATGCGTTACAGATAGCTGCAGAAGCCGATACAGTGGGCGAATCACTACCAGAGAATCCCCCCCAGATATAGAAATATTGATGTTGGCAAGTTTCGAATATCCCTCCTTTGGAGGTAGTAGTACTGGTGGCGAACACACCACCATTTGGAGTTATGGTGTCGTTAATGAAGAAGGCAGCTGTGGCTGAAAGATCGGACGAGGTGCCATTGTAATATCCGTTTCTACAATAATTCCCCGTCACGTTGACTAGAATTCTGTTGCCAGCCGGCCATTCGGGTTCCCCAAATTTAGGCTCTTTTTCAGGATCAACAAATACGATCTCAGACGTTATTTCGGATTCATTGTATATGTAACAGGTAAGTCCGCTCTCTAAAGCAGGAATGGTGACCTGTGCAATCAGGTTGGATATGTTCAACCACTCCGAACTTTGATCATTTACCCAGGTAAGCATTGGAAATGCTAATCCCTCATACGTAAAGGCTGGGTATGATAGGTTATTCTCCAGTATGAGAGTTGATATGATACCAAAATCGAACGCACCGATGCCAGTTCCAGTGTTTAAACCAAATATGATGTCGTAACCGGGAGCATACAAATCGGATGTGAATGATCCTGCAAACTGTAATTGAGCTGGCGTGGTGAAGGTAGAAGACTCGAAAAACAACGAGCCGGCTGTGACTGAAAAAAAAGATGAAACAATCGCCGCCCCTGTCGCCATGATTCCTCCATAATTTGAGGCCTTCAGTTGTGTATACAAGGCATGCGGAGCTAGTAGTCCAAGCAATTTTTGATTGAGTGACACACTGGCAGAAGTTGGCGCACGACTCAGGGCGTAATATGGGGCAATGATCCGATATTCTAGGTCCACTGAAGATATTATGGTACCGATCAAGCTTAGGATAGTAGCGGGCAAGATCGTCCAGAGGTAATGGGTATAAGTAGACGTTGATACTTCGCCTATTCCCTGACTTTTCACGGACTTGTTCAATAGTATTTCTAGAGTTAATATTGCAGCAATAAGAAGGAAGCATATCAGAGATCGTGATGCGGTACGTAGGCTGAGAGGTTGATAAAGCTTGGGTAGAAGCCCGGTCGATATCGAGAGAAATTGGCGATCCTTATGCAAATGACGGAGGAAGGTTATGTGATCTTCATCAAGCTCATTTCTATTCGTATGAACCCTATTCCGCCAAAGGCTGGTGTCTTTCACCATTCTGTCCGCAGTCTTGGAATCCTTCGAACTTAGCCCTTGAGGGAAGGAATGCGAAATTTTCTTTGTCAATTCAACTATTCCAAGAATGGTCCCGGGGTCCCCAGCAAGTGATAGGTGACAAGGAATGAAACGAATTGTTGTAGAGAGTATCACAATTGCCAATAGGCAGATTGTTGCCATAAAATGGCAAGGTAAGGCTTGAACAATCAAGCGGCTAGACCTGATCTGTACATTTCCAGGAACTTCGGAGGATGTGGGCTCAATAAGAGCGCTGTGCGCTAAGAACACGGCGTGAACATGGTAATAAGCTCGTAAACAAGAGGCGATTAAAGACGCGTTGAAAATGGAAGAGGATTCAGTGACCAACTTGCTGCTAAATCCTAGAATAGCAGTGCTATAAAAATCCAGATCTATGAATGTGGAATTTGGGTCCAAATCTTCAACCTCAATGGTGCTCAGGACATAAAATTCAAAGGTGATCACAGGTTGCACTGACGAAGAAGTGTCTATCATTGCTTGTGCGAAGTCCCACTCTCTTAGATTGTCAAGCTTTCTTGTCTGAGGATCTTGAGCCAACGACAATTCTGGAATATGCCCCATAGTCTGAAAGATCTCATAGTTGCTGACATTATAGCTGGGCTTGCAAAGAACTTGCGTAGAGCGTAACAAGGATGTGCCACTGACACTATTCGTAGCAATATCCAAAGCAATATCTATCTCCCCGAAAAAATATGCTAAACGTTTGTTCTCTTGCTGCGCCGAAGATGCATTGATACATGATCCGGACAAGAGCCGGCCAAATATCGTCGTGGTCGCAGTTAACAAGATTGAGATTGACATATAACAATCCGCGGTGCTTAAATTCATTGTGAGGAATAATTGCGTATCATTGTTGTCTGCGGTTACCTGACTTAGGTTGAACGAATCCAAGATTGCGTCGTGACAGTCGATGTCTACGGAGAGACCTGCAATGGTTGCCTGTAGGTTTGTAGTCGACTGAGTGGATTGCGCAATAGTCTGGTATATGAGCTGGTCTAAAGTACCACTCGGATAGTGCAATTGATATCGACGGATGCCTATACTAGCATATAGAGGCATGAGGCCTACCTCTGAAAGTAGTAAAGAGGTATTGGTGAACTGGCTTGTGACTGTAACAGAATGGTCCAAGTCAATTGAAGTTAGTTTGAGTAATGATGGGGCGGTGATAGTTAGAATACTGAGCAACTGGGAAATGCTCGCCCCAGCTGCTACGATGTAATCGCGGTTGCGCAGTGCTTTAAATGGGACACTGGGCGAAAACATTGAGATATAGTCCAAGATCAGTGGATTTCGATGGTCGACATTGTCAGAAGCTGTCTGTGATTCAATCCATGGGGCAATGGCCTTCGCTGTGTACTCAGTGCAGGTCCAAATAGCAGCAAGAAGTGCAAACAACGCTGCCGGGCTATAGGCCCATACATAGCTCGTGTTTTCCGTCGCGGTGGCTAACCCTTGGTACCGCTCTGAAATGGCAAAGCCCGACTCGAGTGTGATAATGAGAGCGGCAAAGACTGCTATAAATGCGTAAAAGACAGATCTTTGCAGGAAATGTGGGTGCCAACGTCTTGCATTAGTTCTTGCTTGTTGCCAGGCATGGGTTCTTGCGAGATTCTCAAGCAGAGGAGTGCCGTCGTCGTCGTGCCGAGTTGCTGCAGGCAGACAATCTTGTAACGATCCCTAAGTAATATGTAAGCGCAGATAGCGCCTGTAAGATGTATGGAAACGCAGTTTTTGGTAGCAACGTGGAATTGTGATGATTCTGGTCTCACCTCATCGTTCGATTGTGTAGGCTGATGGAGAGCATCGGTTAATAGGGATGAAATTATATTAGATCCACGGTCCTCTTCAATTCTATGCCGAACTGAGATATCTTGTGATATTTCTCTTGATGGATTGTAGGGGAAAGGAGAGGAAAGCAATGTCTGGGGATGGTCCCCCATTGTTTTAGTTTTGCGAGAAAGCTTCCTGCAGTGTTCCGAACTTCTGCTATTCTGAATTTCCAGTCACCAAACTGTAGAATAAGCCGGGATGGTGTGGGAGTGAGTTTGCGCCTTGATCAACATAAGGGGAAAGAGAAGAAATAGTATGGGAAGCCTGCAGTGCTTGTGCAACGACGCAATCAATAGCACACGGTCCGACCCCACGATAATCACAGGCTCTCAAGGGTGCAACTTTCTATTTTAATCATATTTTGCCATGTGAACTTGAGGAGTTTACCTAGTGCTGTTTCATTGCCCATAGTGAATGTCACTGCAGCGCTTCCGTAATTATGTCAATACGCCTAGCCCCCAATGTGGTCGTGTTGAAAATCTTACAGTCGGCCCCTACTGCTACTCTCAGCTTTCCAGCCTGCTTACATTTAATGTTTCACGGAAGATTACCCGAAAAATAGTTTTTGTGCCATTGAAAAGCATAAATGTGACGTCGTGCCACGAAGAAGTGAATCTTCGGAGGCCCATTGTATAGCCAGGTCTAAAGATCGCTATATATATAAGTCCGGTTTGTCACTTATGCTGTGTCTATGATTAAGATCTCATGTGATTTAAACCCACTACCTATGAGCGACCGCTCTAGAAAGTGTGTCAATTTACTTCCTATAGTTGGTCACTACCTA